AATGAATCTGGAAAACATACTTAGTGAAATAAGCCAGTCCCAAAGGGACAAATACCATATGTTCTCCCTGATCTGTGAGAAGTAATGGAACACTAAAAGGCAATCTGCAGAACTGAAATTGAGCTGCCCTTGTCTTGACTGTCAAGGAATGGTTTTTTTGTTGTTGTTTTTGTTTTTTTCTTCATATTATTTATTGAACTCTTTACTTAACATAGAGTTAATCATATTTGTATAAAGGCAATTGAGGATGGATCTCCGCAAAAAATAAGAGTGGGTATAAGAGAGGGGGGAGGAAATTTATAACTGTAAAGCTGTATAGTTCTGTGTATGTTCCTACAGATTTACTTCTAAGGGTACAGTTTAAAAACTTGTCATGGAACCCCAAATCCCATTAAGCTTGGTGGTAAAAATACCACCTTAAGCGTTAAAGTGATCATATAGATAGGATTAAGTGTTAAAGAGATCATATAAATAGGAACAAGTGTCTAGTAATAATATTAGATAGAGTTAAAAAGGAGAGAATGTTCCAACATGGGAAGCAGTCCACACAGCAGATTCATAGAATGACAGTTGCTTTAAGTAACACTCTAACCTCAGAATCAGCACTTATGGCTTCCTGGTCTGGCTGAAAAGCCCGAGCATTTCAAGCATGGAAAGCCAAGACACTGTGGCAAAAAATGTTCTATTTGAAGGATCTAAGTAAGACCCCAGCAGAAAGAAGTGTCCATTAATGAAGGATGTACTTTTCTCTATAAAGGGAGGAGAGATCTTCCACTTTGCTTTTGGCCTTGTCTAAATTCTGATGGAATTTATGGATTCGAAAGGCTTCCTTAGCCTAGGCAGCTGATGTCGGGAGCCTTGGGTGGTCATTGACATCATACATAAGAGTGTTAATTGTTAAATTAACAACAGGAGTCTCTGTGCACTAACTCTCCATGCAGGACCTCTGTCCTCAATCAGTTCTATTATGAGAGTTAACTGTAAAACTAGTTTGCAAACAATTTTTTGTGTATGTGCAAATTGTTGAAATCTTAGTATAGAGTTGGTCTTCTGTGTACAAAGTTAATTGAAAATGAATCTTAATGGAGAATGGGACTGGGAATCAGGGAGGAGGAGGAGGAGCAGTGTGAGTGTGGGTAGAAGGGCAGGTATGGTGGGAATAACTATAGAATTTAGGAATAACTATATTCCTAAAGTTGTACTTATGAAATTTGTATTCCTTAAAAAATTAATTTTAAAAAATTCCAAAAAGTGAGAAAAAATTGTAGACATAAATAAAATTGTAGACAATACTGAAAAGAGATAATTTGGAGATTCTTTCATAATTTAAGATACAAATTCTTACTAAAAAACTAAAGACCAGGATGCAATAGGTAATATTGAGCAATGAAGTAACTATACAATATACTAGTAGATCTAAATAAGCACTGAATAAACATTTTAATATGTCTTTTTTTAAAACAAGAAAAGAAAGGAAAATGAAGAAGAATTTGAGTGTGTATGTTGTGCTTAAAATGTTCAAAATACAGATACTGATTAATTTTAGCCTGTATTAAACATGCCTATAAATATTTGAAGATGTACATTAAAGTTATAGAAGCAAAAATAAAATTACAAAAATACAGCAGTCTGAAGGAAGAATTAGGAAATACCATAAATCAAATAGGAGGTAATAAAAAAGAAAAATCAAATGATGAGAAATTAAAGCAAAATAGAGGCCGGCGCCGCGGCTCAATAGGCTAATCCTCCACCTTGTGGCGCCAGCACACCGGGTTCTAGTCCCGGTCAGGGCGCTGGATTCTGTCCCGGTTGCCCCTCTTCCAGGCCAGCTCTCTGCTGTGGCCCGGGAAGGCAGTGGAGGATGGCCCAAGTTCTTGGGCCCTGCACCCCATAGGAGACCAGGATAAGCACCTGGCTCCTGCCTTCGGATCAGCACGGTGCGCAGGCCACAGCGCACCAGCCGTGGCGGCCATTGGAGGGTGAACCAGCGGCAAAAGCAAGACCTTTCTCTCTGTCTCTCTCTCTCACTGTCCACTCTACCTGTCAAAAACAAAACAAAACAAAAAGCAAAATAGAAACATACAGGTGCAAGGGAAGGAAGGATGAAAAGGATGGTTAACAGACACAGGAGTGCAGTGGGGTCAGAGGAGTGACAGTAGGATAACTCCAGTTGACAGCAATTAACTGAATTTCTCAAAGTAGCTAGTAGAGAGGATTTTGAATGTTCCTAACACAAAGAAATGATAAATGTCTAAGCTGGTAGATATGCAAATTACCCTGTTCTGATGGTTACACATTGTATATATGTATTGAAATGTCACAACTCTACCCTATAAATATGTACAATTACTGTGTCAAAAATAAATATATAAAGCAGAAAAGAATGGAAATGCAAAATAAGATTTAAGAAATCATGGGGGCCGGCACTGTGGCATAGTGGATAAAACCACCACCTTCAGTACTGGCATCCTACATGGGCGCCAGTTCGAGTCCTGGCTGCTCTGCTTCCAATCCAGCTCCTTGCTATGGCCGGAAAAGCAGTAGTAGATGACCCAAGTGGTTGGGCCCCTGCCTCTGTGTGGGAGACCTGGAAGAAACTCCTGTCTCCTGGCTTCAGATTGATGCAGCTCCTGCCTTTAAGGCCAATGGGAAGTGAACTAGCAGATAGAAGACCTCTCTCTCTCTGCCTCTGCTTCTCTGTAACTCTGCCTTTCAAATAAATAAATAAATCTTTTTAAAAAACCATTTTTTAAATTTGAAATGGGTTGAAAATGTGAATACAGTGAATCTAATAACAATTGAAGGAAACATGGAAGAATTCTTCTGCAGTAAAGAATTGGAAATCTTTCAAACTATATACAAATCCAAAAACAACCAAAATATTTAATCTTCACTCCATAGAACTAGAAGATAAACAAGCAATAGTTAGCATGACAAATATTACCATAACGACAAAGAAAATGGAATGTATGTGAAAAAATAAAATCAGAATCAATAGATAAATCAATGTCTTCTTTTTTTTTTTTATTTGACAGGTAGAGTTATAGACAGAGACAGAGAAAGGTCTTCCTTCCGTTGGTTCACCCCCCAAATGGCCATTATGGCCGGCGCTGCACCAATCCACAGCCAGGAGCCAGGTGCTTCCTCCTGGTCTCCCATGTGGGTGCAGGGGCCTAAGCACTTGGGCCATCCTCCACTGCTTTGCTGGGCCCCAGCAGAGAGCTGGACTGGAAGAGGAGCAACCGAGACTAGAACCCGGCACCCAAATGGGATGCCGGTTCGGCAGGCAGAGGATTAACCGAGTGAGCCACAGCGCCAGCCCCTCAACCCTCAATGTCGTCATTGTCGTCGTCTTCTTCTTCTTCTTCTTTTTTTTTTTTTTTGACAAGCAAAGTTAGACAGAGAGAGAGAGAGAGAGAGAGAGAAAGGTCTTCCTTCCATTGGTTCACCTCCCAATGGTCGCCACAGCTGGCCTGCTGCACCAATCTGAAGACAAAAACCAGGTGCTTCCTCCTGGTCTTCCATGCAGGTGCAGGGTCCAAGGTCCTGGGCCATCCTCCACTGCCTTCCTGGGCCACAGCAGAGAGCTGGACTGGAAGAGAAGCAACAGGGACAGAACCTGGTGCCCCAGCCGGGACTAGAACCTGGGGTACCAGCGCCGCAGGCAGAGGAATAGCCTAGTGAACCGCAGCGCCGGGTCAATGACTTCTTAATATGTAAAAAATAATTCTTACAAATAAATAATATAATAGGAAAATGAGTATGGGGGACTGGCATTGCAGCACAATCAGTTAAGCCATTGCCTGCTGCACCAGCATCCCATGTGGGTGCTGGTTCAAGTCCTGGCTGTTCAGCTTCCATGTAGCTCCCTGCTAATGCACCTGGGAAAGCAGCAGAAGATGGCTCAAGTGCTTAGGCCTCAGAACCTGCATGGGAGATCTAGAAGAAGCTCCTGGCTCATGGCTCCAGCATGGCCCAGCCCCAGCCCTTGTGGCCATTTGGGGAAGGAACCAGTGGATAGAAGAACTAACTCTCTCCCCGCCCTGCCCCACGCCTCTGCATCTGCCTCTCCTCTCTCTGTGTAACTCTTTCAAGTAAATAAATAAATCTTTAAAATAAAAAAGAGGCTGGCGCTGCGGCTCAATAGGCTAATCCTCCGCCTGCCGCGCTGGCACACCGGGTTCTAGTCCTGGTCAGGGCGCCAGATTCTGTCCTGGTTGCTCTTCTTCCTGTCCAGCTCTCTGCTCTGGCCCGGGAGTGCAGTGGAGGTTGGCCCAGGTGCTTAGGTCCTGCACCTGCATAGAGACCAGGAGAAGCACGTGGCTCCTGGCTTCAGATCAGCATGGTGCGCCGGCCGCAGCGGCCATTGGGGGGTGAACCAACAGAAAAAGGAAGACCTTTCTCTTTGTCTCTCTCTCACTATCCACTCTGCCTGTCAAAAAAATTAAAATTAAAATAAAAAAGAAATATAAGGAAGAACATAGTAGCTACCTCTGGGATGCAGGTGAACTTACAGAAACTAAGCAATGGAGTGTAGAATCAGAGGGACAATTTTTGCTATATTTCTAATTAATTTGTTTTAATTATACAAATTATCTATTAAGGAAAAATAAACAAGAAAGAATAGGATTTATATGAGATCTATTTTTGGAGTGGCCATGTTGCATAAAGTCACTAAAGTCAGGTGCAAATGATGTATTTGAATGACTTCATTTTTGTAAAAAGCATATGGATGTGAAGGTTATTGTATCTATTTATGGGTGTAAAGAAAGATGCATAAGTATTCACATGAAATAACAGTCTTTCAAGAGGTGTAAAGAGATGTTATCAACTCTTCATAGGTCTTTAGATTGTTAAACTTATTAAAAATGTATACTTTTGATTTTTAAAAATAGGATAATAAAAATGTTTAAATAAAAAACATTTTATGGTTGTTTTACCACAAAGAATGACACGATTTGTATAAAAGTAAAGAACTGTACACAAATTTTATTTTTTAGATTATTAGTATATGGATATATGATCCAGAAAACGCAGATCCTGAAGAGCTACTGTGGAAAGCAAAAGAACCTTCATTAGTAGGTGGCAACATTGCATCATAATTAAAATAATATGCTACATTTTTTGTAAGGGCTGTGAATAAGTTATAATCAAATGATAGGATTTTAAACTGTCAAAGCTAACTAAATACATTTTCATTATCCATTTACATTTAGTTTAGCCATTAGAGTGATTTTGAATTTGTGCTAAATATCTACAGTTATAAACTATACTTTAGAATTCTGTTTTTAATAATATATATAAATTTTTTTTCTTAATGTATTTTAGCTTTATTTGAAAAGTATAAAGAGAGGGAGAGCTGTCTGATGGTTCACTCCCCAAATGGCCAAAACCAGGAGCCTGGATCCCGATCCATGTCAATGGCAGAGACCCTAATATTTGAGCCGTCATCTGCCTCCAAGGATGCACATTAACAGGAAGCTGGATTGGAAGCATGTAGCCAGGACTTAAACTAGGCACTTTTTTAAAAAAACAGATTTTTATTAATTAATTTATTTTTATTTGAAAGGCAGAGTTAGAGAGAGAGGGAGAGAGATTGAGAGAGATCTTCCATCTGTTGGTTCACTCCCCAAATGGCTGCAATGGGCAGAGCTGAACCAAAGCCTGGAGCCAGGAGCTTCATCCTGATCTCTCACGTGGGTGCAGGGACCCAAGGACTTGAGCCATCTTGCCCTGATTTCCCAAGCACATTAACAAGGAGTTGGATTGGAAGCGGGGCAGGCAGGACTCAAACCAGTGCCCACACGGGATGTCTATGCTGCAGATGGCAGCTTAACCCACTGTGCCACAGTGCTGGTCCCTGAGCCAGGACTTTTGATATGGGATGTGGATATCTCAAATGGAGGTTTAAGCTGCTATACCAAACACCCAAACACCTAAATTCTTTTTTTTTTTTTTAAGATTCATTTGAAAGAGTCACACAGTGAGAGCAAGGGAGAGAGAGAGAGAGAAAGAGAGAGAGAGAGAGAGAGAGAGAGCGCTCTTCCATTTGCTGGTTCACTCTCCAAATGGCCACAATGGCTGGGGCAGGGCCAGGCTGAAGCCAGGGGTCAGGAGCTTCATTTAGGTCTCCCATCTGGGTGCAGGGGCCCAAGCACTTGTGTCATCTTCCTCTGCTTTCCTAGGTGCATTAACAGGGAGCTGGATCAGAAATGGAGAATCCAGGTCTTGAACTGATGCCCATACGGGATGCTTGCATCACAATCAGAGGCTTTACCTGCTGTGCCACAGCAGTGGCCCCAATGCCCAAATTCCTATTGAGCATTCTTGTTATTTTCTATGAACCTCATCATTTATATTGTTCTAAAAATATTCCTTAACCATCTATATGATGTAGAAGTCTGTGGTTTTAATCACTCACATTTGTGTCTCGTGACCAAGAAGAATGAGGAGCATTGTCAGGGAAGGACAAGCAAAGAAGCAAAATTTGTTGAAGCAAGAGAAAGCTCTCACTTGAGGGAGGGGCAGCCATTAGGGGGAAGTTGCTTAGGGGTTTATATCCTTTGGGCTGTGAGAGAGTTTGTACAGGTTTTGCAAACAGGTTAGTCGTGCATGATCTTGTTACTGGAGGGTAGGTATCTGGAGCTGGATGAGTCCAGCTATAACCACATCCTGTTTTGTTCTCACTTTTTCTATTTTGTTTTTGAATAGTGAGAGAGAGTATTTTGTTTCAGGTGTGTACCTCTGAACATCAGACTTGAGTCTCTTGGGCTTTTTGTTACCCTATCTGCTTCAGGCCTCAGCTGTCTCCTATCTCTATCATATATTGAAGGTATCCTTCAAAAGTCTGTGTAATCCCTTATTGAACTGGAAACAAGCTTTCTAAAAGTACAACGTAGTGAATAAATAAGCCTTTTGATTAATTTGTTATATATATATATATACACACACACACATATATATATATCTTTCAAGATTTAAATTCTGTTTTCTGTTACAATCAGAATGTATTAAAGAAAAATATAAAATGAACTGTTAGCTAACTGTTAGTTTCTCTTGGAACTGTTTGAGTCAACATCTGTCTGTTTTTGAAATAGCATGTTATCCCGAGTCATAGTATTCAAATTCCCCATAGATGGACTGATAAATCAGAATGTTAGGCAACTCATAGGCAATAAAATAAATTAATGGTAATTAAATACTATAAGCATGACTCAATTTCTAATTTTTTAAGTGAAATATTCACATTTTCATATTAGTACATGCATGAATAGTACTTGACTCCCCCCCCCCAACATCTCCATGTTTACCCATAACCATGTCATTTTCTTGTAACCTATCATGGTTTTCCATTAAAACAGCATAGACTTATCACTGTAGGCCTCTCAACAGAGCATACAAAGCTCTTGATACCTGTCTGTGACCTCAGCTCTCCACACTTGCAGATACTGGCTGTTGCATGCATCTGCTTGTCTTTGCTTATACTATTTCTTCTGTATCAAAACCCATTCTCTTCCTTCACTGGTAACTTCTACTCATTTTTTAGGTCTCCGGCCACATGCCACTGTCTCCACAATCCCTGCCATGACCATATCAGGGTTTTTTCTCACCTGAGTAACTTGAGGGAGTTGTTTGCATCAGTTATCAACAAGATGGCTATGACAAAATATGGATGGTCTAATGTTGGGTTGGGGTTGTTTTGCTTTGTTACAAATAAGATATAAATGTGCCTAACAGATACTCAACCCTTAGTTTTATCCCTGACTTCATTCTCTTCCATAACCATCCCTGGTTTTGACCTGTAAATAGTCACATATTTTAAATTCATTCTTGTGTTTTATTCCATCTTTGAACCTGAACCCACTGCCCTATCTCATCTCATTAAATCTCTGAGCCTCAAGCTATTCCCAACATCCACTCAAGGGAAAAGAGGGCCAGCAGTAGAATGAGACTCAGGAATGGGACCAAGAATAACTGTTTTGTGCAATTTGGTCTCTCTGTCTTTCAAATAAAATGAAAATAAATAAATAAATAAATAAATGTTAAAGTGTTCATAAAGTAATCACTCTCCCAAGAACCTTATCCTCAGAAATAGTCCTAATCATGGAGAAGACTGTATATCTGATTATGCCCATGGCAATATTATTTACCTATAATGAAAAAAAAATAAGACTACATGAATGTACAACAGAGGAGTATTAAGTAAATGATGATAATACACTCAAAGGAATATCTTATAGTAGTTAGAAGCAATACACATATAGATTCTTATAACCTGATAACATGAATAGCCTATACTTGGTAAATCTGAAATAAAATACCAAATGTGTATTTTGTCTTTTTATCACTCATATTTGATATTTTTTTCTGTATTTATAAAATTTAATAACAATAAATTTCCTTTTTAATGGAAAATATTTTTAAGCTTTTCTACATGATTATCTTAGCTTTTCCTTGGTCATTTTTTTATAATGTATATTATATATATGCATTGTGATTATTTCCATCTTATTCTTTGCTCCACGAATAATGCTTTTACTCTTTTTCTTTGGAGTTATTTAAACCAACATTGCAAATAAAATTCTGAAAAGTGAATAAGATTTTCAGAAACATAATATCTATCATTCATGGGGTATTTATTAGGTACACCTATATTTCTCTGTCAAAATCATTAAGTGTATATTCTTTGGGAAGATCTTTTAGGGCCATTGTTCCTACTCCAAACAATAGGTTAGGATCTCCTATTAGGCAGTCCTACAGCCCCTGAAACTACTGACACATATCATAGCAATCTCTAGCACTCCTTTATGGGAGATTGATTTATTTATATAAAATTGAATAATAGTTGTATTAGAAGATTAGAACAGAAGGAGCTATGGAAGTCTAAACTGGCCCTCATTATCCAATATTTTATTCTAGGAATTCCTCATAATAAAATAGTTGCCTCTGTTCAAAAAATACCTTATTAGGAATGATTCCAGTTCAATTCACCTTCTCCTTATTTTTCATGAGAAAAAGAGGAAGCATGTTATATCTACCTGAATTCTAAAAAGAATTTTTCTTGAAGTCTCCATATTCTGTTTAAAGTCTTCCTTTTAAAAAAGTGTGCTATTTTGAAAGTGCAATCATATAGAAATACTTCTCACAGATTACTTTTAGAAACTTCATTATATATTTCACAAGATAAAAACTATGATTGCAGAGTTAGGAATCCCCACAGTCCCGGTTCATAAACGATTCTGATCAGAAACTGTGACGTGACTTGTTTATAATTTATGTAGTTCAAATGGGAAGGAGGCTACATGTTAGGAAAAAAAGATAAATCTTGAAAATGTAGTGAATGTAAATGTAGTGAATATAAACAATATCATAACAAACAATAAATTCAATATTTTATAATGCAATTTTAATATTTTAACTATAAGAGTAAAAAGAGAAATTTTATTTTGTTTTAACAGCATTCCATAGTGCTAAGCAAACAGTTGGCCATTATGGGACAGAAACCAACCATACATACAATTCTACAGAGAAAAGCTTACTTTCCGTATGAGGACCAGAGGAAAGGGTATTTAATTTTTAAATTTCAAATATAAAATTTAATTTCATAAGTCCAAAAATACCAGAAGGTTATAAGAGATTTAAAAACCCTAGCAGAATTTTATTGGAATATATATATATATATCTTGTATGTAATTTGCAGGTGCTTTGTTATGGTACACAAAAAAATTATAGTAAACAGAACTAATTATCAACTCAGAAAATGCCAGTCAGACTTTTGGATATTAGTTTCACAATTTGTGTTAATAGTTAAACCTTGGGGGCAATCATTTGGCCTAGTAGCTAAGCTGCTATTTGGGACACCCACATCAAATATCAGAGTACCTGGTTTCTTTTTTTTATTTATTTTTTTAACTTTTATTTAGTAAATATAAATTTCCAAAGTACAGTTTATGGATTACAATGGCTTCCCCCCCCCCATAACTTCCCTCCCACTCTCACCCCTCCCATCTCCCGCTCCCTCTCCCATTCCATTCACATCAAGATTCATTTTCAATTATCTTTATATACAGAAGATCGATTCAGTATATATTAAGTAAAGATTTCATCAGTCTGCACCCACACAGAAACACCAAGTGTAAAATACTGTTTCAGTACTAGTTGTAGCATTACTTCACATTGGACAACACATTAAGGACAGATCCCACATGAGGAGTAAGTTCACAGTGACTCCTGTTGTTGACTTAACAATTTGACACTCTTGTTTATGGCATCAGTAATCTCCCTAGGCTCTAGTCTTGAGTTGCCAAGGCTATGGAAGGCTTTTGGGCTCACCGGCTTCGATCTTATTCCAACAGGGTCATAGTCAAAGTGGAAGTTCTCTCCTCCCTTCAGAGAAAAGTACTTCCTTCTTTGATGGCCCCGTTCTTTCTACTGGGATCTCACTCGCAGAGATCTTTCATTTAGGTGTTTTTGTTGTTGTTGTTTTTGTTTTTGTTTTTGTTTTGTTTTGTTTTGTTTTGTTTTTGCCAGAGTATCTTGGCTTTCCATGCCTAAAATACTCTCATGGGCTCTTCAGCCAGATCCAAATGCCTTAAGGACTGACTCTGAGGCAAGAGTGCTGTTTAGGACATTTGCCATTCTATGAGTCTGCTGTGTATCCCGCTGCCCATGTTGGATCGTTCTCTCCCTTTTGTATTCTATCAGTTAGCATTAGCAGACACTAGTCCTGCTTGTGTGATCCCTTTGACTCTTAGACCTATCAGTGTGATCAGTTGTGAACTGAAGTTGATCACTTGGACTAGTGAGATGGCATTGGTACATGCAACCTTGATGGGATTGTATTGGCATCCCCTGGCACGTTTCTAACTCCACCATTTGGGGCAAGTTCGATTGAGCATGTCCCAAATTGAGAGTACCTGGTTTCAATACGCAATCTGGTTTCTTTTTTTTAAGATTTATTTATTTATTTGAAAGTCACAGTTACACAGAGAGAGGAGAGGCAGAGAGAGAGAGAGAGAGAGAGAGAGTCTTCTGTCCGATGGTTCACTCCCCAATTGGCTGCAAGGGCAGAGCTGCACCAAACCGAAGTCAGGAGCCAGGTGCTTCTTCTGGGTCTCCCACACCAGTGCAGGGGCCCATCTTCTGCTGCTTTCCCGGGCCATAGCAGAGAGCTGGATTGGAAGTGAAGCAGGCCGGTCTTGAACCGGCACCCATATGGGATGCCGGCACTTCAGGCCAGGGCGTTAACCCAATGCACCACAGTATCGGCCCCCAATCTGGTTTCTAACTCAAACTTCCAGCTAATGCAGACTTTGAAAGCCAATAGTGATGGCTCAAGATAATGGGTTCCTGCTACCTATGTGGGAGACCTGGACTGTATTCTTTGCTTCAAGCTTTGCCCCCATCCCCAACTGTTGTGGGTGTTTGGAGGGTGAACCATGAGATGGAGCTCTGAATATCTGCCAAATAAATAAATAATTCTTTAAAATGCCTAAGCCTCAAACCAAGAGCCTCATTCAGGATGATGACAAATCCTGGCAATATCTGAAAATATGTCCTGCTGGGAACATGAACTAAAGTGGTATGATGGATGTCACAATCACTGCCACCCCCAGCGCACACAGACACACCACAACAGCAAACTCTCCTTGAGAAGGAATACCTGTTACTGCTAAAATAAGTAGGTTATCATGAAATATAAACAGCTTTTTTTTTTTTTGACAGGCAGAGTGGACAGTGAGAGAGACAGAGAGAAAGGTCTTCCTTTTGCCGTTGGTTCACCCTCCAATGGCCGCCACAGCGCATCCAATGGCCGCCGCGGCAGGCATACCGTGCTGATCCGAAGCCAGGAGCCAGGTGCTTTTCCTGGTCTCCCATGCGGGTGCAGGGCCCAACCACCTGGGCCATCCTCCACTGCACTCCCTGGCCACAGCAGAGAGCTGGACTGGAAGAGGGGCAACCGGGACAGAATCTGGCGCCCCGACTGGGACTAGAACCCGGGGTGCCGGCGCCGTAAGGCGGAGGATTAGCCTAATGAGCTGCGGCGCCGGCCTAGACAGCCTTTCTTAATCTGTTGAGCACCTTGGCACAGGGCAACATTCTTACGACCTACAGTGACTATACAGTTAGTGAGGGAGACAGAGAGATGTGAGGTGGAAGTGAACCCAGAGTGTAGAACACATAAAGGGCACACCAGCTCAGGCCGAGAGGAGAGGTAATGAAGGAAGGATTTCCTAAAAAGATGACGCCTGCTTTTTGAAAAGAAATAAAAGCTAGCTGATTGGAGGAACTTTCAAACTGAGACCTGAGAAAGCAGATGTATTCAAGAAGATATGAGAAAGTTCAATTCAGGGGTGAGTGAGGGGTGCCATTAGGGAAATAAAATGGATTTAAAACAATAATACTAATCTAAACTAAACTTCAGGCCAGGACTTTAACCCCCTGCACCATAGTGCCAGCCCCAACCTAAACTTCTTAAATCTTATTTTGTAAAACTTGGAAGGGAAGGAGGTAGGAAAATGTCACTATAATGATTACTATAAAACTAAACTAAAGGGGCCGGTGCCATGGCGCAGTAGGTTAATCCCCCGCCTGCAGCGCTGGCATCCCATATGGGCACCAGTTCTAGTCCCGGCTGCTCCTCTTCCATTCCAGCTCTCTGCTATGGCCTGGGAAAGCAGTAAAAGATGGCCAAAGTGCTTGGGCCCCTGCACTCATGTGGGAGACTGGGAAGAGGCACCTGGCTCCTGGCTTTGGATCAGTGCAGCTCCAGTCGTTGCGGCCATTTGGGGAGTGAACCAACGGACAGAAGACCTTTCTCTCCGTCTCTCCCTCTCACTGTCTGTAACTCTACCTCTCAAATAAATAAGTAAAATCTTTAAAAAAATTTTTAAACTAAAGGCCCCCTCTGATTTAAAAGAAAGGAAGATCAGATACAATTTGTTACTTCCTATTTTTAATAGCATTATTGAACTATAATCTGCATGCCTGGGGCCGGCGCTGTGGCGCAGTGGGTTAACGCTCTGGCCTGAAGTGCCAGCATCCCATATGGGCGCTGGTTCGAGATCGGGCTACTCCACTTCCAATCCAGCTCTCTTCCATGGCCTGGGAAGGCAGTAGAAGATGGCCCAAGTCCTTGGGCCCTGCACCGGTGTGAAAGACCAGGAAGAAGCTCCTGACTCCTGGCTCCTGGCTTCGGACCGGTGCAGCTCTGGCCTTGCAGCCAATTGGGGAGTGATCCATCAGATGGAGGACCTCTCTCTCTCCTGCCTCTCTTCTCTCTGTGTAACTCTGACTTTTAAATAAATAAATAAATCTTTTAAAAAAATTGTGTACCTAACAGTTTGCCCTTTTAAACTATACAATTCAATGATTTTGGGTATCTACAGAGTTATGCTACTATCAGATCAATGGAATTCTAGAACCTCGTAATCAACCCAAAAATAAATCCCGTATTCTCTTTACCCAGGCCCTGGCCCTGCTAATCTATTTTATGTCTGTATGGATTTGCCTATTCTAGAAATTTCCTATCAAGAGAATCATACACTTTTTTGTGACTAAGTTTTTTCAGCTAGCATCATGTTTCCAGGGTCCATACATGTTATAGCATGCATCAGTACTTCATTATTTTTTATTGTCAAATAATATTCTATGAAGTGGCTATATCACATTTTGGTTATTCACCTTCAATCATTGAATGTTTTGGTTGTTTCTTCTTTGTGGTTGTTGTGAATAATGCTACTAAGAATATGTGTGTATATGTTTTCTTGTGGCTTTATGTTTTACTTTCTCATGGATACTATATTGGGAAGCTTTGTGTTATTTTGTAATGAAATACTTAAGTCAAGCTACTTAAGATGGAAAGAGATTTATTTTTTATTTTATTTTATTTTATTTAGTAAATATAAATTTCCAAAGTACAGTTTATGGATTACATTAGCTTCCCCCCCCCCATAATTTCCCTCCTACTCACACCCCTCCCATCTCCCGCTCCCTCTCCCATTCCATTCACATCAAGATTCATTTTCAATTATCTTTATATATAGAAGATCGATTCAGTGTATAGTAAGGAAAGATTTCATCAGTTTGCACCCACACAGAAACACAAAATGTAAAAATACTGTTTCAGTATTCAGGGATATTGGTCTGTAATTCTTTTTCAATGCTGCATCTTTTTCTGGTGTAGGGATTAAGGTGATGTCGGCTTCATAGAAAGAATTTGGGAGGATTCCCTCTTTTTCGATTGTTCTGAATAGTTTGAGAAGAATTGGCGTTAGTTCTTCTTTAAATGTCTGGTAGAATTCAGCAGTGAATCCATCTGGTCCTGGGCTTTTCTTTGTTGGGAGGGCCTTTATTACTGTTTCAATCTCTGTCTCAGTTATGGGTCTGTTTAGGTTTTCGATGTCTTCCTGGTTCAATTTTGGTAGGTTGCATGTGTCCAGGAATCTATCCATTTTTGATAGATTTCCCTGTTTGATGGCATACAAGTCCTTGTAGTAATTTCTGATGATTCTTTTTATTTCTGTGGTGTCTGTTGTTACATTTCCTTTTTCATCTCTGATTTTA